TTTAATTTATTATTAAGTGGAATTACGAAAGAAAGGAATTACATAAATAAGCAATACCGTAGATTAAAAACTAGCTACTCGTCCCGGCTTCGCCTGGGTGTACATGTATTATATATATAAACCATCCTCTAGATCTATCTATTAAAAATACGCTTAAAACCCGTTGCGTAGTTTTAAAGATTTAAGCATACATAGGGACGGACAGACAGCGACAACGACTTTATTTTGTACTATGTAATGATGATATAAACAGCAGTCTGTTGCTCTAAATAAAAACGTAATACACTTCCCAGTTCTTAATTTACCTATGTTTTCATCAATTCTCACAAGATCTTCTGTACATGGTACCTACCTACACGTTACATTACGGACAGTTTGCGAAATTAAATAGGATTTGTAACCGGATATACCGCCATGTTGGGTCTGTTCCGGAAACAACGCTATGCTTCCGGTACACTTGTAAATATTACACTTGCTAAATGAAATTCTTCCGGAAAGCAACGACTTTAGAGCAATGTTTTGTACAATAACTGACTCATTTTTATTTTCTAGTCTTTTAATTTACAGAAGAAGCTACGGTGGAACTTTTGATATTACTTTACTCTTTGATTATCAAAAGAACACTTATTATCATCCGTAATTAGGGGTGTAGTTAAGGTTTCAGGAATAATTGCAAAATGTAGAAAGTTTTACTTTATTATTTGATTTTTACATACCTAATATACAAATAATTTAAGACAGAAATCAAAACGATTCATAAAATAATGTATAACTGAAAGATAAAGAAAATCAGATCAAAGAAGAAAAGTAACAAATTAAAAAAATAAATGTAAATTAAAAATTAACGGCTGACAGTACCAGTGGTCACTCAATTAATAAATTGTAAACTTTTGTTAAAAGTTGAAATGAAATCAAATTGCTTGTTTGGAACAGTACAAACAGATGTATAAATATTGAAAGTATTAGGTTAACATTAGTAATATATTTTAATAATATACTAAAATGTTTAGTGTAGATTTTTTTCACTCTTATATACTTATTCCCGTGCAGTCTTTATTTTTACAGTCATTAATTTCCCTTTTGAATATTATTATTATCAATTCATTAATGTATTAGTTAAATATGTTATCATTAATACTTTATGTAACAATCCCATGACAAATTACCCTTAAACATTTACATTGTCTGTGAAAATAAATTAACAGTTCATAAGTCGTACCACTAGATGGCGCTGGTGGCAATATAGAACGCGGTAACGATATTTTTTAATAGCCTATATAGGATCGGAGTTAAGTTTGAAATTTATCTCTGGTTTCCCTTCAAAACGTATAAATCTTTCGCCTTTTACTAAAGATTTCCGTGGAGGGGAACACTCAGATGAGTCTTATTTATTTTTTGACAGTCTTGCCTATGGCAGGACTTAATAAACTAAAATAACCATTGTCGCTCAATGTCAAATTTGTTCGCTCTCTTGTGAATTGGTACGCTCCCGAATCAAATCAGAAAAAAAGCTGTCACTTTAATAATTTTACCTAAGGGTATATACGAAAATTTGTAAAGGACAAACATTTTTCCACGTAGAAATAAAAAAATATATAAAGTACCGTTCATACTAGTGACACTTAACCAAGTGGTTCTCATTACTACAGTATAGTTACATTACTAGTTGCTTTTGGTTTACGTTGGTGTATAGTTATGTTACTAGTTACGACTACTATTTTTGTTGGGGGGAGGGGATTCATGTCTGGTGGACATCCACGCGATCCCTTGGAAAACATCGTGGTTAAATACTGCTGAATTTACTAGTATGGACTAACTGACCTAATGTGTCCAATTGCCAAGTATCTAACCATTCAACCGTAACAAATTTACAAAACAATAATGTTTAGTGGTTGTAATAGAACTTATTAAAAATTTACCTAAGTGATAATGGACGGAGAGGATTAATTGTAATGAGAACTAGAACTAGAACCTTTTGCTGACAATGTAACCTGATTAGATCCCTCAACCCTAACATGTCAGAGTCATGAGTCATGGGCAGACTGACCTGATCTCTTCTTCATCTTCAGGACACTCAGCTGGAGCCCCATTGTCGTAAAACGGGGTCATCATCCCATTATTATCCATCGCTAATAATGAAACACATTATTATTTCCTTACCATATCTTTATTACAACTGACTAGTTCTACTACAATGTATACACGTACATTTAAAAAATAGAAAAACACTATAAAATAACAACATTAAGTGCATGTGTAAATTGTTGAACAAGAATAGTTTTAGATAATGTTAAATTAGCTATATCTGAAATTAACCAAACGAAGTATTTAATTTTTATAACTTTAACATATATGTAGGTTACTACCAAATTACCTCCATTCCAATATATATACATTATTAATATAATCATGTAATGTCATACATTTTTAATACTAAAAAATATCCTTAATAAATTCAAATATACCTGTTTTGTGTAAATTGGCCTTCAAAAACAGATGTTGTCTCTTCGGTCACAATATGCTTCAGGTACTTTAAGGGCTCAATTAACTGCCTTAGTATGTAAATAAAGACCAATTTAGATGCAGGTAAAGAATATTTTGTTTATAATATATTTTTTTAATAATTTAATGCTACCAAAACAAGTAGGTATCTTTATTATTGTAATATACATAACTTGCTTTATAGCATAAACCATGGAATGAAGATTTGGCATCATCTTACATATTTGTTTGTTACTTAACAAGATACAGTGAATAGTAATAATAGGTATATAAAGTATATATATATTTTTTACCTCTTTCTCTTCATTAATTTGTTATTTTTAATATATATTATTATATCGAAAAATATACAGTAACAATATCAGAGATTAGTGGAAGTGAGGGTATTGATTGGAATGGGTGGCCCCATTCCAATCAAACCCTCACTTCCTTCTCTCTTCTTCTTCTCCCCATTGCTAAAAATGTACCATGACAATGGCCTCATGTTCAGCCTGTCATCCTCCAGTTGTACCCCACCATTATAATCCGCTAATGCAGGTAAATGCACTTGCAATCCATTATTATAAAATAATTAAAAAACATACATTATTAATAAAATAAAATATCTTCATGAACATTAATATTTTTGTATAGGTCAATTTAACTATTTATATATGTTGTTTACGGATACAATACATGTTGAAGTTACTCGTTAAACTAATAATATTTAGATATAAGACAGGAATGAGTGGCATCAAAATGGAAGAATTCACGGCTAATTATTATTGTGTATTTTAAAATAGAATTTATTTAATAACTTTTTATTTTTTTATGCAATAAAATATATTTAATATATTATTTATCTATTAAAATATAGGTAACATAGATTTACAGTTTACAATTCAACTATATTAATCTAAATATAATTAAGTACCTAATAGGTAATAAAAACTTAGTTATTAAGTATTTAGGTTCTATTGAATCTGGAAGTTTGCTTAGAAAACAATGTAATTTAATATCGACACTTATCTACCTATTTAATTTGTATTATTATATAAACTATTGAAGTAAATCTGTAAAGTTATACAAAAATAAATGGGAATACATCTTCTCAAGTTACATAAGTCATGTAAAAAGATTGTATTTCTCAATGAAACGAATGAAGTTGCAGGCGTATTATCAGAATAGCCGGTCTACTTATGAAACTAATTCTGATGCATTTGATATAGGATTACGCTGTCATTCTTAAAATAAAATATTTATTGTCAAGACTTTATCCCACCACAGCTGTTTCAATCTTGCCCCTGATTTATAGACGTTATGTGTAGACAATCGAAGACCTAGTTGTAAATATTGCGCAATTAAAGTAAAACTACATAGAACATTTGATAACACTTACAAAACCATTACATTGAATGAAACTCGATGGTATTCCATTTTACTGTCACAACGGTAAGTTTTAAGTTTATAATCATCTTCTAAAAATATATATATAGGTAACTAACTGCGCGCGACATTATTAATAACTAATTAATTTAATTACTTTTTTGCTACATTTCCAAAAAGTACATTAATTAAAACTAATATAGTTTAAATAATTAACTAAGTAGCCTAAATTACCAACGAATCTATTGGCAAATAGACAATACAAATTAGATCACCATTTTTGATGTGGTTTTTAATTTCTCACTCTCCCTTTACTACTACTAAGAAATATTAATTTATAATGATAAGTTATTAGAAAGTGTTACTTAAATATTAATCATTTCAATACCATAATACTGTAATACCTACTAAATGAAGTTTCGTTTAGTTTTTTATACCACAATAGTGGCAAAGCATACGGTTCATCTGCTGTTAAACGGTTACCGTAGCCTATAGACGCCTGAATCACTAAACTTATTAGATTTATCGAAGGTAGACTGTAAAAATCTTCTGTCACTTGAAAAACAATTTACAAAGCGTGAAACTTGTGCTATATCAGACGCTAATTTGTTTTCGGTGGACTAAGACAATAAAATTAAAGGATAAGAGTTATGACATCTCAGTTTTTCAGTATGGACATACTTGAGCATTATTATCGGCGACCGTAATGTATATATATAGGCGACGGTTACCACTTAGTCAGATTGACAATTGACTTATTTGTCATATATCTCAAAATATACACACATTGTTTTTCTTTTTTTATTATCCCACTCTAAACTAAAATTGTGATATAATTGTTAACAAAGTAAGTACATATACCATATCTAAACTATACATAAACCATACCAAATGAATTAATAAGTTCTTTGAGAAAATTTAGCTGCATTTAATTTGTTTTATTAAGTATTTTAAATTAAAAATTTACAAATATACTATATAGAGAGAAAGTAATAATGTACTACAAGCTGAACATGAATCATCAACTAAACTGTTTACTCTGAAATCCAATTTTAAATCAGAAAGAAGTTTTACTAATTAATCGATTTATTATTTATTATTCAGTATACTATAGCAAATGACTCTACTAGAGCATAATGAACCTGCATATCTCTATACTAATATTAGAAAAAGATGATTTTTATTGCCGCTAACTGCAGAGAAAAGATTTACCCGACTTTAAAAATTGTTTCGCCTATTGGTTTTAATAATGTCTTCTTCTTTGTCGATTCCTCAAGGCTGGGGGTAGTGACCATTAGGCATGCTTATTCCAACCATTATTCTCCAGGTAACTCTACCTATCATATCCTATCTATAATGTATTTTACTATAGACGAAATAATTATCAGCAACAAACTTAGATTGTATACATTTGTTTGAAAATAAGATTCCTATAATATTTAGTACGAAGTCGTAACGGATCCTTTATAAGTCTACATATTTAAGATCAGTTGAAATAAACCGATTATTTACTTTTTAATATACGAATTTTCTTAAATATTACTTAAAACCTTAGGCTTAGTTTGTTTTGGTTTACGCTCCTAACTGTGCATCATCACAACCTCTTCGTTTCCCGAGCTGATGGCAGAGCTGTGGTGACCCTACGATGTCCCCGAGGAATACGCTCAGCAAATAGAACTCCTTTGCTTGATCTGATGAACGCTTGTACTGGCTGTGGATAAAAAAACAATATAAAAAAATATTTTAGACTACTACAGTGGCAAACAAGCATACAACCCATATGATGGTAAACGGTAGCCTATGGATGCCTGAAGGGATGTCACGTGCGCATTGCCTTAGTCAATAAGTAATAAATTAATAATAACGTAATAACAATAGGAAAAAGTAAACAAAGTAAAAAGAACACTAAAATTATTGAATAAAATATGATTATGTATAAAAACATTTGCTGTAGGTATTTTTTATGATTTGGCATAATCGTATTGTTATAACAACGATGTGTATATAGCTATTTTTTTAAGAAGTAGTATTAAAATTGGATCTTAATATATCCCTATTAATATTGTCCAAATCCGGAGTAACTCTTGTCAGAGAGTGTTCAATATTAAAAGCAAAATAATAATAAAGAAGAATATTAATTTAAACGGCGTACGTATGCAATATGAAATCATTGCTGCACTGTATATTACTTCATTGCGTTGTAACTAAACTCAAATACTTCCTGTGTAATAATGACATTGTTCAAATACGTATAAACTTGAGGCAAGATATACGGAACTACTATGATACACATCAAGATTGATCTTCGTGCTGCAACCCACAAATGAGAGTATTGCAATCTCACAGTTGCATGCTGCTGCAAAATGAACGTTATTGCCACATATTAAGTAAAATACAAAATTATACATCTCGGCTTAAATGAGAATGCCATTGCTCATGTATATTAGACAAAAAATAGTTGTCATAAGGTTCAAATTTAAATGATGTATATGAGTTGTCATTAGAACAGTAAACAGTGAAAGTGCCGTTTGCTATTGCATAAACGCAGTTCACCTCGGACGTCGAACGTGCACTTTATGATCTCCCATAAATTGAGAAGTTTTGATAGTGTCTATGTTTATTATAGTTTACATATTTATTCTTCTAAATGTCAACTTACTAAAAATATGGGATGCTTACTATTATATGGGCCGTATGCTTGTCTGCCATCATCGCGATTAAATAAAAATATTAACACGAAAGTTTGTGAGAATGGATTGATGCTTGTCAGTTATTTGCTGCAAAATACTAGATTGAACTAAATTTCATTTAAATATGACACTTACATAATTATATTGGAAAACACAAAAAAAAATAATTACATAAGATAAACCAGTAATATAAACAACTTTTTAAAAGAATTATGTATATCAGAATTTTAAATATTATTCAAATCGATGTAATTTTAACTGACTTAATGTTATTACTTCTAGTACTTTATTTGCATTACTTTAACTTAATCAAAATACTTGTTTTATTACAATGCTCTAATCGGATAAGAGAGTGCGTTAACTTTAATTAAAGGAAACAATCAAAATTATTAACGAATTAGGTGCGACTTATTCATTAATTTAGAAATCGTGTTTGCGAAATTTGTTTAAATAGTAAATAATAGAATTATTGTGGGGTCTCGGCCACGAACAAATTATTTATAATTGAGATTTCACATTGAATTTAATATGCGCACAATTACATTCTGTAATCATTTTAAACAATCGTAAAATACTAATTACTAACTCAAAGGACACGATCCGGTTGTAAATTAATAACTGTGGTCACATCTACGTAGTGTCACTGAAACTTATTGATTGAATGGGATAAAAAAGTAGGTTCTGTCTATGTAGTTAATTTTTATAAATATTTTATATAAATTGCTTTCATCTATTTTATTTTTTTCTGCACTCCTACATTATTTCCATCTACTATATTAAAACTATAAGTAAATACGTTTTTGAAATATGAATTACTTATTATAATTTCTTGAATTGTTACATATATCTTTTCAATTCCTGGCGATTAATTAAAATTTTATTGTTGAAAATCCCATTTAAGATATCAGACGTGAATGTATATTATTATTAAAATAAAACAGCAAAAATATTTGGCAATTCAATATAGAATTTTGTACTTATTTTTAAACTTTCGCGTTTAGTAAACATTATTAATATACATAGTTCAACAACTGCCTGAGTCAGCTCGTGACCACAGCTAGTGCAAACTAGTCGAAACGTTGAGAAAGGTTGATAAAATTATTCGCGTTAAAACTCGTTTAACTATATTAATATGTAATTAAATTTTGTATTCTGGGAGTAAATCAATAATATAGCAATGGATGCGTGAGTGGAATACTGTGGACGAGACAGTGTACGGTGACCCACGGTTGCGTGACCGCTGTTACAACGTGACCCACTTGTGGCACACCGGATGGCGCATAATGCATTCTTAAACGAAGTGTCCGCAATTCGCCAAGTCGCTGACCTGGATGCCACTCACAATTCGGCGCGACCTTGAATCTTCCAATTTGTATACGTTATGAAATATTCATAGAAACTTAATGGGCAGATTATGTCAAGGTCGTTTTCTGTTTCATAATAGCTCGTAATAGAGGAAGTTTTGGAAGTGTAGCGAACTACTTATATGTATTTAGATGCGAAGCTGTTTCCTTAAGTCGTGGATTATACAAGATGTAACAGAAACCGGGTATTATGAACCAAAATCCAGCTACAAGTAACTAGTAACAATTAGTGGAATATGAACAACTATTTATACGGAATAAAATTTATGTGGATATTATTAATAATAATACTTCTTAAAAATAAATTATATTAATAAAAATTACACTGACTACCACGTCTGGAAAGTAGTATGAAAAAAGGAAAGACTAGGTAATACCAGAAGAGAATAAACACATGGCAAACGTAGGACTCTTAATATCTGCAGATTTTGTCAAGCGGAAGATGAAACGCCACTACACTTCCTATTTGGTTGTAGCCCACTCATTAATTAACATAATATCTCCTTTGGAAACTATACACTTTATCCTGATAAGATAAAAAGCATCGCTACTAAGAATGTCCTTTAATTCTTGTCCCTAACGGTTCTAGATAGTGTACTTTAAAAAAGAATGAACACAATAGATCTATGTAGGTCACAGAGCTACAGGTCTAAAGCACCTGTAGGCCAAATTCCTCAATAAAAAAATACCTGAAAACATCGGGCCAGTCTAGCTGCGGTCTCGGTTGTGCTTGCGCCCTCGCTGCATAGCGTGCGCACACGCGCTCAAACACGCAAGCTCGCGCGCCGAACTCGCCGACTATATATTTCTCAACTTCTAGAGCATCGAATGGCTCGATAGTGTCACTCAAATATGACAGTTCACGACGATTGCGCGATCGATATGTCGCTGGAATGTAAAAAAATAATGGGTTAGAAACGTGTAACATTATGAGGTCTATTTACCTTGTTATATTCATTGTATTTAGTAGATATTGACGTCTGTTAATCAGTGCTGGAGTATAAAAATATATGCATAGAATATAAATTATATGTTCTAGTAGGTACGCTGATGGTAAAAGCTGATGCTGATGTACAATCTATGAAAAAACAGTAGGTGAAAGCTCTATAGGTACATTCCGAAGAGATTTGACAAGATCAGTTGGGTGTCTATAATTGAACTACATGAATGTAAATGTACATTTTATAATCAGATTTTATGGAATTATTAGGTAGGTATACTTATTTTATTCCACGAAAAATGGTCATCAACAATGATATTATAATTTTTCTTATGAGTAGAAGTCGGATGAGTAGAAATAAGTAAATATTAGGTATATTATACAAATTCCACACTGTTATTTTTATTTTATCCAAAATAATTTTTATTTTCCTGTACTTGCAACAATTTTAGACTCTTATCATCTTAATTACCATTCCAAGTTGTTTGGAAAAAGTTTCAGCCATTTAAAGTTTGGAGCATCTAATATTTCGTACTTTTATGTTTTTAATTGGACTAACAAAAATTAAGCATCGTTTTTAGAAATCTTCGCACTTGTTTTAACAGGAAACGAATTTCTTTAATAATATTATATTCTAAAATATTATTATTTTCACCAAAACTACTGAATTACAGAGTATTTGCCTATACGATCACTACTACTCAGAAAATATTGTACTATATAAGCTTGTACTTTTGCCCAACTTTATCCTTTATCTTTGATCAACAAAGTAAATTAATTAAATTAATGTGAAAATTAATTCAAAATATATATAGTACAGAATACATATCAGTAGTTCATAGGTCTTTAATGTGTATATTTATGTAGCTATTTATTGTGTAATTTGAATTACAAACAAGCTGACGGCCAACCTGATGGTAAGTGACTGTCGCTGTGAACCATAAACACCACCAAAAATAAACAAATATTTGTTAACTTCAGACAATCGATCGCATTCACATATTACCTACTTATACTTTGCAACTCAGTAAATTACTTGAACCAGTAGTAATCATAAAAAAATATGACTAGTATAATTTATCACTTCAAATCTCATGCAATCAAGGTATCAATAAATAAACCAGTTAATTAATACTTAGTGCAATACATTTCTGTATATCGCTGTTATTGAATAGTTAATGACAGCCTAAACGTAACCGCTCCGTGTATTTATTTATAGCTTAAACTGGTAACATATACAGTTAAATTATAACTGTAGGGATTAACTTATTTCCACTCATGTGCCACCAACTTTATTTTTCGTAATACTCTCTTTCGATATATCTCTCTTTTAGCGATAAGACTGCCGTCTGCGCCTTCTTCTTGCTTTAATTTATTGTTATATTTTTCAATGCCTCTACTATTAATGTTAGTGCAATAAAGCATTATAAATAAATAAATAACGTAAACACGATATTTCACAGTATTTAAAATTGGAAACAAACTGACAACCCACCCTATGGGAAATGACAACTGTCTCATATGTACATAAACAGAATTATGATATCACGTTATCATGTGACGACCGTGACACTACTCATGCGTTGTCATTCCAGAGGACTAAGATTATTCCTTTTAATAATTTTTCTATAATTTCACTGCCTTAAAGCAAGCTGCTTGGCGGCTCAAATAGACTCGGTGAGTTAATATTGAGAATTGAAACGTAAAAAAGATACCGATAACAACACAAAATAATAGAGATCCGGCAGTAGACTGGTTTCCTGACATACTGTATTCAAATATTCTCAGAGAAAAGGCTTAGATTTATCATGACAACAGTTCAAAATTTTATCTATTAATTAATTGATTATCTTCTAATCTATATACCTCTAATTATCCACCTCGTATTAAAGTCGTGGGTAGTTATACAATATAAATTTATTAACTTTCTGTAGATTTTATGCCTCTTAGTGCACACAAATTAAGTCAGAGGCGATATAAATTCAGAGAGCAATACATCACGTCAAGGCATGTTGTATATTGCACAAAAATTCATTTATTACACTGCAGTGACTGAAAATGGTACTATAAATTGAACATGTCACGAATAATGCTGATGTATGCTGCATTTCATGTTAGATACATTTTTTTACAATCGTTGACAATATACGATACAGTTAAAATGTTCATTCATTTCACGCGTTTTCGTGTTGATAGTACTTTTTATACAATGTTTTCATATAGGTTGACTAAAAATAACATACTTGCACAGAGTATATAGAGTCTATATATTACGACTACATATCTATAGTTATACTATTACAGATATCAAAAAACTTTAAACCGATGTCAAAAGTATCTTATCTAAAAGCCATTTTGTCTTATAACTTTTTAAAAACAAATCTAGTATTTTATTGACACTAAACTCTTGCATACGTTTAGTACCAGTATTACGATTCCCTATAGAAAGGCATAAGTTTCTCCTTATTTTAAGTGGTCTAGTACTCGTTCATTGTTGTTGGCATCATGGCATGGAAATCATATACTTTCTAGTTTATTATTATATAAATTATTACACATCCTTTGTTTCAATATCAAAGTTTATAATAATTTAAACTGCCTGGATAGCAACATACAACTAAAATAATAAAAAAAAGATACTTCTTGCTGCTCGTTCGAAATTCAAAAACCGTATCGCGTTGTAATAACATGTGCATACATGTGTGTACATAATTTCTGAATATGTCCAATACAATTTCCAGGACCTCTAAAAATCCTAATGTTAGCATATCTAGAAGTTGCATAGTGAGCAAAAGGACAGGCTCAAGCTGGCGTTCGAAAGATAAGAGTTTCCAATAAAGCAAAGTGATATTTCATTCCTAATGTCAAACATATTTAAATAGTATTATAATATCGTCAAAGGTCAAAGGAGCTCTACTTTTCAGCAGTGGCAAATTATAAATAGTCGTCTACGTTACAACTATTTAAGCCGAACAGCTTACTTTGTAATCTGTGAGTCAGTTCTTGTTTTTGTTCTTATTCAGGATATGATTAGGCAATGAAAATATGCTTTACATCAGTCCTCTGCTATGGCAACGCATGAGTAGTATCACAAGTGACATATGATAACGTAATGTACTGTTTAGTATATAGTGAAGTTTACGCTCATCATCAGGTGGTCCGAGAGATTTTTGTCATTCCAATAGGAAAATTTAGGTGACAAACACAGATACATGAGAATTACATATTGGTATATTTGTAATATTTTTTTATTATCAATACACAGATATAAAATGTATAAGAAATAAAAAAAATCATATTACAGAAAATAAACATACGTGATATTTCTAAAGTAATAGTACTATAACCAATATAATACTTACTGGGATTAAGGGAGTATGTTAGCTTTTTAAGAAAATTAGTTAACCTAACACTAGCAGTAATGGCTGGAAAACCAACTAATTGTACCGGTAATTCAAATAAAGTCTCTTGACTATTCACTTCACTACAAAGATAAAACATCAACAACACTTTAATAGCAACGAAATAGAGTCCACACCACTGCATTATAATTTTATTTCTTAAAAACACTGAGCCTAAGTACAGACAACCATTAACTAGTAACTTATACAGTAGTATTAGCCTCAAATAGTCAAAGATTTCGCAATCATGAATATCTGCTAGGCAGATAATTTATTTTGACATGTGACTCTCATGAATAATTTAAAATATTTATTACACAAGGACTGTATTAAAAATAAAATTGTTATCTGCTCAAGTCGCATAATATATCAACGTAATAGACAATGATATTTACATCGAAAAACTATAATGTTCCATTTTCAAATTACTATAACACAAATTACGCATGAATTTGCGTTCCGTTTCAACACAACACGCGGTCAGAAACGCGATGAGATTGTGAACTAGTCACTTGAACAGCTAAGATTGTACTGCAAAAAATATATGTACGTGACAAGGAACGTAACACAACACCTTCTCCAGCAATGGTTCGAGTTGCGTTTATTGTTGGTCAATCGAACTGTTATGTCATAGGTCTTAACCCACTAAGCGCGGAGTTACGATATTACTTACTTATTACCAGTGTCTCTATGGTATTCCCACGTTTGAAACACCTATAAAACATCACAAAATTATACTGTACTAAACTGAACTTTATACTTAACCGATGATTAGTCAATAAATAAAGTAACGATATGTTTTTGGGTTATTACAACAGTTATGCCGTATACAACACAAAAAACATACTGTCACGACTATCATCCCAGATGGGGTTGGTAGGAACTGTCAACTATCGATAATTATTCGCACAACGGGAAACGCAACATTTTGCACAGTATATTTTGAATCCAACATGACAGGAGCCCATCGTTGTTTCCTGATGAAATTTAACATAAAGACAAATTGCATCCTGAAGACTAACATACACTATTTTTTCATTTAAAATAGTAGACGTAGGCATGTAAAAACTAGTCATAATAATAATCCAGGACAATTCAGACATGAAGGCAAGCAGAGCTTGTGTTATGGCTTATAATATTATGTATAACCAGTCACCAAGATCAATTACTTATACAAACCTTGTAACATATATTTAATAAATATGTAAAATGCTTCACAATGGTGAGATGTATAGTAATTATAATATAGTTTTTAAATAAACACTGACGTATTTCTAGTTATTTGATAAACATACCTAGTATAACAAATGTAAGTTCATTTCAAGCCATTGATAACATAGAGATGAGAAGAATATTGTAGGAATAGGAAAATAAGTCATGTAGGTATCGTAATTCCATAAAATATATACCTAAATTATATATATCATTAACTATTATCCCAAATTGACATATTCATATTGCGCTCGTTATTTTGGAATCCAATGTGATAGAGGATAACCTACCGCTGTCCCTTAGAGTAATTCATTATTTCTATCGGTGTTTCGTTCACAGGAGAATCAGTCAGAAATATAAACTGACCCATACATTTTTTTCCATAATCTTAAATAGCGATATAATAAATAATATTTCGCCATTTAATTTGTTGACCACCGACAAGAGCGTGGCCATTAATATATGTATAAGTAAAGCTGGGAGTACTGAATTTGCTATTCTGTTCTTGATAAATAATTACCAAAGTTAGAAAATACGAGTCTAACAGAAACCAAGATTGTGTCAATTTAAATTTGCTACTTTGTGATTTCTGGCCCTGACAAGTATTACGTTTACGTTATAGGCGACTACCACATTGAGATTGGAATTGGATTGTAAAGTGGTTTTTATATCCTCAATAATAATTTATTAATTCAAGATTTATTTTATTGGTGACACTATATTTTAAAACTTAAACTCAAAATGATTTATTCATATTTGGATTTGTCAGATATAAAATTTTATCAAAAGGATTTTGTCGGAAACAATTTAGGACACTTGTCAGCTATTAGAATAGACCATAACTATAATATTAATATTGTAGCGTGAAGTTCGGATTCCAATTTTAGTAAAGCCACTCAAGGACACTTTAGCAGATAAAAGTCAATGCCATGCATTTACAATTAAAGATATAAATTTAATACACGTATATATGTAAATATAAATAAAATATCTTCTCTTAATAAAGAATTTTCTATAATCATTTACGCATCTGAGATATTACAGAGCTTACTTTACTTACTTACTTGCTTATGCCGCGTAGTGATTGAAAATTAGAATATAAGAATAAAACGAAGCACATTTGGATAAAATTATTTTTAAAAAATACTTCTATAATGTAGATTACCACGTAATAAAAAAATCAAACTATGCATACTTTCATTTATTATTTTTTATATATAGAACAACCTGTAAAAATAGATAGAATACAATTACAAGAATTGTATTTTATCTATTTTTTATACATATACAATGTTTTATTTATAGCAGTTTAAAAAACGCCACTAATTATTTACCAGCAATGTATATATTTTTAGTTCTATAATACCTAGCACTTAATGTATATATAATATTCTTATTATCATATATAATATAATATAATACTCTGAATTGTATATAGTAAGTTCACTATTATACATACATATTCTAACTCACTTAATATAATGTACTAGTCATATATTTATATTATGTTATTATGTTCTTAGTAATTTGTAGCATAATATAATATATAATTTTCCCGCCATTTATGGGATTTCAGGTTTCACAGCTTATTTCAACTGTCGGATATAATAATAAATCCCAGCGTTTATGCCCACGGGAAATGCAACACTGTCAGTTTACGTTCCGATAAATAGTTATTCAATAAAATATCTCGATAATTACTTATATATTTCACTAAATAATTAATTCATAAATAGATAACATTAGTTAAGTGAATACGTAACAAATTAATTTATTTGATCTTTATATTCATTCTGAAGTTATAATAATTAGTTTATAATGAATATTCTAGTAGATTAAGCAGTATGTAGAGAATTGAATTGAAATAATGAGGGCAATAGTTACCATAAGCGATTCTATTTCATCCCCTTAATTTTTTTGGTATTATTGTGTCCTTTGTTTTAACAACATCATAAATATACATAGGCATGTCTTCATTCTGGCGCGAATAAATATAAAACTAGATTCGGACTAAACTGCATGCGCTATACCAATATAGCTATTGCCAAATCTATCAAAATATACCATATATTATTTGTGTACCTAATATTTATAATTAATAAATTTTGGAATATTTACATAATATGTTTTAAGCATTTACCTGGACTCAAGGCATATGACAACTTCTTGATAAAGTTTGTCAATCGAACAGCTAATATGATGAATGGAAATCCAAATAATTGCACGGGTAACTCAAATGTCTCTTGCGCAGACAAACATTGTAATACTAAGGCAGATAACAAGGTCCATATATAACACAATTTTATTAAATTCATATTGCACTATTTAACACACTATTAAAAAATAAAACAAGATTTTAAATTAAGAATAGCATTGATCGAGTTACGAACATATATCTTAGTTTTTAAATTCCTTAAGGTGCTTTTTCCATATGTGTAGCACTACTACCTTTCTGAACACTTGAGTAAAACTGACCATAACCAATAGAAATCCAACCGGGGTTAGATTTCGTAATTATATTCATTATAACCGGCTGGTTGGCATTACTAAATCACTAGTGCACACAAACTAATTAATAAAATTATTAGTTCATTCACGCAAGGCCGATTATCTACGTTATTTGATTCCTTTGCCGAGTAGTTGTTAAAAAAAAATTGATCTAGGCAAAAAGAAAAATAAAATTTGTTTAGTTGAGATACTTAATATCCTCAAAATAAAAATTAAAAATTACCGCATGGTGTTAAGTCCACCAAATGTACTGTTACTTTTGTACTGTGTGCATTAAAGTTATATAAATAAATAAAAAAAAATAAATAAAAATATTGACAAACAGCGACAATATATTTAAAATATTTATAAATGAAACGTATTTTTAGTCAGTTATATTTATAATCCTATTGGTATTTACTATCACTATACAAGGTAAAGATTGAAAGTAAACACGCGCGCATGCCAGCTTTATGGCGCATGCGTAGTCCTTACGAAATGAAATAGATTACTGTTCCAACTGCCATAGACTTAGATCTATGGTCACCCCTCCATCCATGTCGAAGTATTTCATGAGACAATGGGGTAGACATCTGTCTGACAACAGTATAACTTATATAGAGCGTGAAATATTATATACTAGCTCTGCCTGCGACTTCAAATCCGCGGTAACGTATTCGAAATAACAATAACTTTTTAATTTGTAAACAGACTGCAATGAAACAAGTTTCAGGGGGAGATTTCTACAATTTATTAGTGAAAATCGTATTGTCCAATTGGTTGAGCTAGATTATTAGATATTAACGAATTTTTTTACCTTGATAATATGCGACTAAGATTACCGTATACCACATCACGTGGTTGAAATAAGTTAGATAGAATTATCTATGGAGACAACTGTGTAGAAAATCTACATCGGCTGTAGATAATATAGATAATTCTATCTAACTTATATCAACCACGAACCAGCTAGCTTTATAAGTAATGATACTCCGGTTGGTGTATAAGTAGATAGTATATATGTATTAAAAGCGAATTACAAACATAAAAAGTTATGTAAAAATATATAATACAACATACAAAATATCTGCAAAAGAATTTTTTTATTGTCTACTTTATTTTCCAGCGCAATCGAAAAGTGCCATAGTTCCATAATATCGCTTGGCATACATTCCCAGTAGTAGAATGAGCATGTCATAGCGAAGTATATAAACTGTTAATACTAGCTATTAGTAAAAACGCAGTAAAATTATAGGATCAGGCTACTATTCCTGAATATAGGCGAATGTTATCATATACCAGTTGGCGGACCATTAGTTATATAAAATAAAAGCTTTTATTGATTATGTCAAATATTATCGAAATTTAAATATTTGTAAATTGCTACATAAAAAATTTAAATATCGGTCAACAAGACTGCAAATGTTAGTTTATGAAATAAGTCAC